ATTCATTTGGATTCCCGCTGTATGAAGAAATTAAAGGACGGCGCAAGTGGAAACAATTCACAAAGGGATTAAACTGTTTAAAACACATGCTCAAAGTAAGCCGGATTTTGCCGATGTGTTTATGTGGATTCAAAAGTCCCAAATAATCTACAAAACCTTTAAAAATGCGCTTATCCAGAAAAGCCTGGTTTGGACACTTTACGGGCAGAAGAAACATTTCTATTAAAGAAAGAATTATACATTTCTGTCTTTTTATGCCTTTAATAGCTACTAACTTGAATTTTTATTCAAATTAATTAATCAATTATTTTTAATGTTTTATTGCAATGTAGAGACAAGGCTTTTAGTGACAATCATGTATTGCGTTACAATCATATGTGTAAAAAAAAGAAGTCTAAATATAATATTTGGTCTCAAATCATCTGAGGCCTGGCGCCCCCCCTGCGATCTTTGGCGCCCCCCCCCCCAGGTTGGGAACCACTGTTCTAGGCTGCTGCTTAGCGTGGCGAGAATTTTGCTCCACTTTCTCCGGTCCCCGAGATTCGGCTTCCACTAACGGTCATCATTTCTCTGCTTTGTTTCAAGACCCGCATCAGAAAGCTTTTGAATGGTGCTACTTTTCCAGTTGGTCTACCTGCTCTTCACGTAGCTCTGCATGTCGTCGTTTAGGTGCTTACTGGAGATAGGCACTGCTCAATCCACTCCTCCATAGTAAGGCCACCCCGGAGGTCGAAGTTAACCTTAAATGTTTCCATCTTGAGCTTTGTTAGTTAGTTAGTTTCGGACGTAATGTAACAGCTGTAACGGTTGTAGCTTTTTCTCAGACGCGGAGGGATACTGACTTGTTGTGAAAAGTAACTACAATTCTACTCGTGATATACGCTCATTATACCACGGCTAAGAACCAATCAGATTGCTTGATTTGACTTGTCCGTTTTATAAGCTGCATTATAAAAGTACTTATAATCTGCCTATAGCACAGTATGTATATGTATTACTTAATATTTAATCATATTTATAATGCTTTACAATAATACCGTATAAAGACGTTTCATAAATACTCACAAGGTCAAATTTCATAATAATTTTTTTGTAGTAAGTAAGTATTATTTGTTATAAAGCCAAGTTGCAATACATTATTAAATGTTATTAAAACAGTGATTATAACAAGTATAATACCTCTAAATGGTCATAGTTTAAGTAAAGTGAATAAATATGATCAAATCAGTGGAATAACAACAGACAAGACGTTGTAAAATGAACTGAAGATGTACAGGTAATCATATAGTTAAGATATATTCGTGACCATTTATATAACCCCATTCTTCTTCGTACATATCACGCATGTTTTGGTATGTGTGTGTCAGCTGTGGACTTGTCTCTAATATTCTCACACATTGTTGTGCCTTTTATTGTTAACTACAGTATCAATAGATGACAGATGTCACGGCATATTAAGAGTTTAACAGTTGAAACAGTCAGTCAACCAAAATGATTCTCCAACAATGTTAATGTGACAGCATTTCAGCTATGGGAACCACATATGTCGCAAACACACACACACCCTGAGGGTCAGACTTCTTCAGGTGAGTATTGAGTGACAGCTTTGTGTTGTTATTTTTGCTACACGGCTTCATTTTCTATAGGATTCGTCACACTTCATAATAATTATCAATGACAACCGGTATTCAGAGCATGCTCATGACTCAGATCAAACTGTGAATAATGAAATGTGTTCAGTAGGTTCACACGTAAGGTGGGGTTGCTTCATATTCGCTCCAATGGAATACGAAAATACAAAACGTTTCTCATCACCTTACTTGGATAAATATGAGCATTTATTTCTATAATGCTCAGTTTTTCAGTTTACATGCAAGCTTAAGTTCTCAAAAGATCAATGTTTTGGGAAACAAAAGCTGCCTTTGCAGAAACTAAAAGGCTTTAAAGAGGACCTAGTATTCTTTTTGTTGTTTCTCTTTCCTCTAGTGTGTTGTATAGGTTTTAGTGCATGTAAACGGTATACAAAGGCAAAAATCAGCACTCTTTAAAGTAGAGACACTACATACTGATATACACCTGAACATCAGCAGGAGAGGACTCTTTAAAGTAGAGACACTACATACTGATACACCTGAACATCAGCAGGAGAGGACTCTTTAAAGTAGAGACACTACATACTGATATACACCTGAACATCAGCAGGAGAGGACTCTTTAAAGTAGAGACACTACACACTGATATACACCTGAACATCAGCAGGAGAGGACTCTTTAAAGTAGAGACACTACATACTGATATACACCTGAACATCAGCAGGAGAGGACTCTTTAAAGTAGAGACACTACATACTGATATACACCTGAACATCAGCAGGAGAGTCTCCTGCTGATGTTCAGGTGTATATCAGTATGTAGTGTCTCTACTTTAAAGAGTCCTCTCCTGCTGATGTTCAGGTGTATATCAGTATGTAGTGTCTCNGTGCCGGCTCAAACCGCCACATCGGTGCTGGCTTGATGCAGAGCGGCCTGGGGGGTCTCCTCGAGCCCATGGAAAGAGGAGCTGGAAGCCAGTAGCCTACTGTTTGAGCGTCTCAAGAACGCGGAGAACCGCTACGGTGCCAGACCTTAGAAAAAGCGAGTGCTCTGGCTCTCTCTCTATTGGGCTTCGTGAGACCAGTTTGACAAGGTAGTCATGTTGGCTTGGGATCGAGTTCCTGGATCGAACAAACAAACTAGATTAACGTCGCCCTGAGATGTGCAGCGTTACTATGAGGCTCTGGATGAGTACAAGACGCTTTTAGCAGAGCATGGTGTCTTGGGAGACCCCTGTGTTGTCGCCGACACTACTGTCCCGAACCCACAGGCGACAGCACACAGAAGAAGAGACTGCACACTCAAGAAGATGTGCGATGCTAATGTAGCCGACACGTAGTACAGGCATTCCCAGCAGTGCGTCACGAGAAGTGGAGAGTAGAGACAGCAGTCCCGACAGTGGAGCTGTCAGGGCTGTCATCAAGCTGCATTAAGGCAGGATGGCCTGAACTACAGTGCGAGTAATGTTCCACCTGAACAGATCTCAGGGACTATACGCAAAGTCGAAAAAGAGCTATTCGCGAGGCTGATGGGCCTTAGTCATACAAGGAAACACGGATGGGTTCGTGTCACTCGCTGAGAGCAGACATTTTGCAGAAAATACATGAGGGACACCAGGGGCTCTCAAAATGCAGAGAAAGGGGGAATGCATCAGTTTGGTGGCCGGGGCTCTCTGTAGACATTAAGAACATTGTCAACATATGCAGGAGCTGCCAGGAGCTTGAAACCAAGTGAGGTGACAACCCATACACCAACACCAGGACGTGTTCAGACCAGGTCTGGCCATGTCAGTAAGCCGGCCACTAGGTTGGACTTGTAGACAGGAGTGTTTTGGGTGTTTCACAATGACCTCTGGGGGTGAATAAGAAAAAAAATCACCTATGGCCTTTGGAAGGGAGAAAATGAAACACATGTGGACTCTGAGTCTACTAAATTTTGAGTTCTGTTTATTGTGAATGTTATGTACAAATGTGATATTACTGCTGCAATGTTTGGAAGAAAAAAAACTTGCATCTTGAATTTTATTTTATCACGAACAGCACGAAGGTATTGGTTACCCATCTTTATTAACATAATCTGTGAAGTTAACCATAGGACACTTTTGGTTTGTCAGTACGACTGAATGAACATTTGCTATCACAGTTTGACTGTTGTTTACCATTACAGGATGATGCTGTGACTAATCTGTCAAAACTCTTTACAGTTATTTAAAATTAAATAACTAGGAAAAAAGGGGAGATGTCACATATGCATACAATGCATACAGAGTTAAGGCTGTTATGACAGTGTTGCGACATGCATTACGGCATGCGAGGGACTGCCTTACTTCAGATTAAGCCCGCCAGTGGTGTTGTTGCTGCCTACTGTAATGTCTTGATTTACTGTATAATAAGCCTGAGTCGTGAAAGATACTCGACCCTCGATCGTTCTACAATATCCAAAACCCCCAGGAAGCTTGCACACTTAAAATAAATTGTTTGTTGTTGTCAAACCGTTGAATGACCACTTCCGTGCGACATTTATAAATCTGCATATGTTCTTCTTTGAGTATAGTCTTTAGTTAAAGGTAGGGTAGGTAATTCACTTCAGAAACACTTTTTGTTATATTCCATGGAATGCTCTTAACATCCCGATAGCAATGAATAAATTAAATGCTTTGACATCAAATATACACAAATATTTCATCTGTGGAAGCCGTGGCGCTGTAAAAATCAAGTCCAATTATCTGCCCCGGCCCGCGGCAGATAATTGGGTGGCCTGAATGCCTGTCAGCCTTCCATCTTGTGCACAAATTTATCTCGTGCCCTCATTGGTCATGTGCGCGTGTGTGTGTGTTGGAGGAGGGGCTCTGTGAGGAAGTCTGAAGGAAGGGGTAGATTTTTTTTGGTTGTGTACTTTCAAATTCTAGCTTACTCCAGCTGGTTTCTCCATTCTTATCTACCCTACCTTTAATGTCTCTATTGACAGCACTGACAGAAAATTACATACTGTATGTAAAAGGATTTTGGGAGCCTTTTATACTTTTATTTTGTTAAATACTTTGCTGTAGAGAGTTGGCAGGAAGTGATGTGAGAAAGGTAGGCTGGGTGAAATGCAACAAAGATCCATGGTCAGACTCATCCAGTAATTTCAAAACTAATGAATTGCGTCAGTGTTATGATTAGTAACCTTCTATGACATGGTGTTGGATAAGTGACAATCAGCTGTTGATATTTTGAAATCAAACCATTATCCTCTTACCAGGAACTTATCTCCCTCATAACCCAACTGAAAACCTGGCCCGTCAGAGAGCCAGCATTTCAAACACACGTCTCAAAAAACATTCAAAGTTCAAAGTGCATGGAGGCAACAACTCAAATGAAGAAGGGGGTGTTAAACTGCTTCCATTTCTTCTTTTATTATCTGTAAGAGAAACAATTTGTTATTTATTTTTAAAACATTTTACATTTCCTTTTATAGGCCTGAATTTATCAGGGGCATTTTTGCATGGGAAAACTGCACTTATTTGAAGATTATTGAAGAACAACACGGAGGCTACATAGTCCATAACCAGGATGACAATCATACATACTCATTTAAACCTTGACAGAAGCAGCAAATTCAAAATCAACACCTTCCGTTCTTAGCTTTCACAATAAAAGTCCTGGCCATATAATATTCCCAGGCGAGTACTTAGCATTTTCTTATTGTTTGTTTTTTCCCCGGTGTGTAAAGGCCTTACAACTTATGTTGTCTCTCTGAAGGTTAGTTTGTTTAGTTTGATAAAGACCGTCCAGTGTTGGCCGCTTGTCTGGATTAGTTTACACTTTTTGTTCCAATAAAAACACAGTTGATTGTTTTTTCCTGTTCATTAAGAACATATTGAATAAAAAATGGTGCTGAGCATTGGGGTGGGCTGTAGAGTGGTGGACGTGGGTGGGTAGGGGTGAAAGGAAACACCGTGGTGTTGATCTCCTGGAATGCGGCATGCCAGAAAGCTGGCTCGACTGGCACCAAACAGAATGCCTTCAGCCCCCCCCCAACGCCACTCTCACTCACTCTCTTTCCTCTCCCTCTCATGGGCATCATGTCCCCAGTCCAACTCCCCCTTTTCTCTCCCCACTTCTCTCTATCGCTCTCTTCCACAACCTATGAAACAGGAGAGCTGCCATCTCCGCTTCCTCCTACAGGATCAGCGATCACTCTGCCAAGGCCTCCGGATTGACGGCATTCCTTCCCCCTGCTGCTGCTGTTGCTGGCCGGCTGTTGTACTGGGCATCCAGAATAGACCTCTGACGTCCGTCTGGTTACTAGAATATGCCGTCGTCCCAAGAATCAAAAGGAACACAGAGGATAGGCACACACACCCTGTACATACATTTATTTGTACACAAAAGTCCCTCAAAACACAGACATTCTGGTACCAATAGTGTTGCTGTAATGTCAAACCATCCTACCTACATCACATTGAGTGGGAGCCCTTCCAGTAGTCATGTCATGTGTGCTAGGGAGGGGGGGGGGGGGGATTGTGTTGTGGTGTAATTACTGACCGGAGTTTGACCCCATGTCAATACTATCAATACAACAAACAACACAACAAAATATGGAACTAAAATAGCACTTCCACAGTTGATGTATGGATTTATTTGAAGCCTGGTGTAAATGTATAAAAAGTACGACAATATGCAATAAAAAGATGGCAGCATTTATTTTTGGTTTATACAGTATGGTATCCCAATCATTTCTGTGTGCATCTATGACCGGGTGAGGACACTACCTATTGACTCAGCAATCACTGTAACTTATATTCTTGTTTAAATAGACTTCTTGTTTCATTTATTCTACTCTGTATAATTGTTCTGTAGTTATTGTGGCTAAAACAGCGCTTTTGAGAGATTTTAAATCTCAGATCTGCTCAACTGAACCTGTTACACAGGTCTCAGTGGGTCACGCGCCTCAACCCTGCATTACAATAGGCAGGGACACTCTGCTGTCGCCCATCAGCTGAAAAGAGTTAACTAATTAGAACTCTGAGAACTCAGCAATCAGGTGTCCATCTTAGGTAGCTCTTTCCTGGAGCGTCAGCCAGACGAAGATTGACAAAGACATTGGAGTCCTGCGGGATTAAGACTGACAAAGACATTGGAGTCCTGCGGGAGTCACGAGGGAGGCAAAGAGGAGGCAAATCCTACTTTAATTGAGCTAAGTATCGCTGGTGTTTTATTTTCTTTGGTTTTCTAGCCCCTCATGCTATAATCATGTGTATTTTCTCCATTCCTGTTAATGTGTCTGCTCGCAATTATCACTGGCCCCGTGTATCTCCTAATCGATATAACCGGCCTGCTCTCGTCTATCCCACATGCTCCACTGAGATCCAACATCTAGTTTCAGGGGGCCTGTGGAACTGCCAGTCAGCTGTTCCTAAGGCTGACTTCATCTCTGGCTACGCTTCCCTTCAGTCTCTGGATTTCCTTGCTCTCACGGAGACCTGGATTACTCCATCCAACACATCCACCCCAGCAGCTCTGTCAAAAGCATATTCCTTCCCCCATACACCCAGACCCACTGGCAGGAGGTGGCACTGGTCTCCTGCTCTCTCCCAACTGGAGCTTTTCCCTCTTCAAGCTACCTAACTTCACTTCTTCCACCTTTGAATTCCATGCCGTCACAGTAACACATCCTATACAATTAACCATTGTTGTTCTCTACCGTCCACCAGGCGCCTTGGGGGACTTCTTGGAGGAATTAGATAATCTCCTCTCACACATCCCTGAAACTGGCCCTCCCGCTGTACTTCTCTGAGACTTCAACCTCCAGACAGGGAAGATAGATGAACTAACATCTCTGTTAACCGCCTTTGCCTTCTCACTGTCTCCATCCCCACCAACTCATAAAGCTGGCAATGTCCTTGATCTCATATTCTCAAGGAACTGCACTACTTCTAACCTCTCTGTAAACCCGCTCCACACATCCGATCACTTCTTCATTTCATTCTCTCTACCCCTTTCCAAACATAACGAACTAATCTCTTCTCATCCTGCACCTGTCCGCCGTAACCTCCGTTCCCTCTCCCCTTCTACCTTTGCCTCATCGGTGCTCTCAGCCTTCCCTTCCTCTGACTCGTTCCAACTCCTGCCTCCAAACTCTGCTGCAGAAACTCTCCTCTCTACTCTCTCATCCTCTCTGGACTCTCTCTGTCCTCTCACATCTCGGCCGGCTCATCAGTCCCCTCCTGCTCCCTGGCTAAA